GCTGGGACAATTGATTATCAGCAGCAAAAAAAAGTAAAAAAGAAAGAAAGAAAGAAAGAAAAATATAACAATCAGACCATACTTCATACTTCATATAAAAACTCACCTAGGATGGCTAACCTAACTCGGCCAGGACTATACAAACAAACAAAAAAATAATAAAGAAAAAGAAAAAGGCCCTGGCTGGTGTAGCTCAGTGCCCTGGCTGGTGTAGCTCAGTGGATTGAGCGTGGGCCTGCGAACCACAGGATCACGGTTCTATTCCCAGTCTGGGCACATGCCTGGGTTGCAGGCTGGTTCCCTGCAGGCCAGTTCCCAGCAGGGGATGCACAAAAGGCAACCATACATTGATGTTTCTCTCCCTCTCTCCTTCCCCCCTTCCCCTCTAAAGATAAATAAATAAAATCTTTAAAATAAAATTTAAAAAAAAGAAAAAGAAAGGAAGAAAGGCAGCTAGTTCAGCTCACAATGCAAAACAATCTCACCGTTGCTTTTCCTTGAGACACCACAGTACTTCAGTATGCAGAAGGGATTTATGTATAGTTGCTATTTTGTCACCCAGAATGTTAAATTGAAAGTTCCTGAAGAGTCAAGATTTAATCAAACTAGTCATCGCTACTGCTTCACCAAGAACATATTTAAGTGATACTGTTTTTATATTGTGACGCATGGTAATAAAGAATATGACTCCCTAGCAAAGGGTGGGTATCAGAGTTGTACCTACTACAAATGTCAACACACTGTGAAAAAAATAATCTCTCGATATTATTATGAAGAATCTTGAACTTGCAATCCCTTGAAAGGGGAGTGTAGGGGCCTGTGAACCACGCTATAAGAACTGCCAACTTGGAGACACTTGTAAACAAGCACACCAGCATACTATGTAGAATGCTCACAGGAGGAAACCACACAAATGTCCGTCCACAAAGACTGACCACACTCACATAATGGAATACTACTGCCACGAGGAACGTGTAATGTGGTGGTACCTACGGCCCTCAGATCAAAGCAACCAGGGCCTCTGCCCTGAGCCCTACACCTTAGATTGCCTCTCACCCCCTTCCAGCTGTGCCTGTCACCTTAAAGCAAGTAGTCAGCTGGACCCTAAGTTTCTTTTCTAGACCAGACTCCCAAGTACCTAGTTCTCTAGCATCCCAGCCCAATGGCCCCGGTCCCATTTTCAGGGATGGAATGAGCCATCCTAGGTTCATCCCAAGAATAGACAGCACCAGTGGTGTGCCCACACATAAGTCCAAGGGAATGCAAAGAGTCTATGGTGGTGTGGGCATCTACGCATGTACGTGTGAGGCCCTTTGTGATACAGTGTGGAGCAAGGTCAGGAGGAGCTAGAGTGGGTGGACCACAGGGTCTCTCTGCACTTTCCTCCAGACCCCACTGACGTTAGGTTTGGTCCTGCAGAGACAGATCTTATACAATATTGACCTTAACAGGCTCTCACACACAATATAATTCCATTTACAAGAAGTTCAAAAAGAGGTAAAACTAAAGTATTAGAAAATGCTCCAAAAAGAAAAGCAGGAAAAAAGTTATCACAAAAGGGTAATGGTTGCCAGAAGATACAGGATTTATTATGTGGACAGGGAACATGAAGGCTTCTGGGATACTTCAGTGGTCTAGTTCTTTACCTGGATGAGCATTCATTTGTGAGTATTCATTAAATAGTACATTATGTTGTTTGCTTTAACAAATTATACTTTATTTCACTAACTACTCCAACCAGAAAAAAAGTCCCTGTTCTCATTTCATTTTCTTCTATATTCCCTACTCACAGCTCACAGTTCTCTCTTTCACTATTTAAAACCTCCACCTGTTTATCTATTAAAAAATACTTTCAGAATTCAAAACCACATGTGGTTGTAGGTCTCAAAATAAAATGGATTCTAAAATCAATAGTGCTAATGAGTGGAAGAGAATGATGCTCAAAAATTACTTACCTATTTATTTTTGAATTAAAAAATACAACAATTATTGAACTTAAAAATCACACTGGCATGCAATAACATGTGTCAGTATAAAGAACAGTCCTACCTATGGAAAAGCCTGAAACGTGAATGTTTCAAACACAGTATTTGGGAAGAAAACCTTTGAAATAGAGTATTTGCCTAACTTTCTTAGCGGGTGTTAAAACGGTAAGGAAGTCCGAGGATCAGATCATGCCGAGTTTGTTTACCAGCCTGTCCCGAGCCCTTTGCACAGTCCCAGCACACAGCAGACACCCAGCATCCCTTCAGTGAGTGAACAGGGAACGGTGCGAATATGACTCAGGGGAAAATTCAGGGGCCCTGAGCTTCTCGGGACACGGCAATCCCACTTCCTAAATTCCTGATACTGTCCTAATGTCTGACCTGTTAAACCTAAGTGACAAAGAGGTAACCAAATGCATCACTCTGTCTCCCCACTTATCACCGATACACATCACGGACAATAGTTTCCAAAAATGGCCACACAATCTGTCAAGGCCCTCATGATTGTCTATAATGATGACATTCCTCATCGAGAGGGGAAGTGTATGTGTGCCCTGGCTGGTATAGCTGAGTGGATTGAGCACAGGCCTGCAAACCAAAGGATTGTGGTTTGATTCCCAGTCAGGGCACATGCCTGGGTTGCAGGCCAGTTCCCAGCAGGGGATACACGAGAGAAACACCATACATTGATGTTTCTCTCCCTCTCTCCTCCCCTCCCCCTCTAAAGATAAATAAATAAAATATTTTTTAAAAAGAGGGGAAGGGTATGTATTCCATCCTTTTGAATTTGGGCAGGTGTTTGTGACAACAGAGTATGGCCGAAGCAATGCTGTAATTTTGAGGCAAGGTCATAAAAAGCACGGAGCTTCTATCAGGGCTGAGTTGCTTGTAACACGCAGCTTTCAAGCGCAAGTCACAGCATCTAGCTATTCTATGGACACCACGCCACACAGACCACAGAGACAAAAAGTGATGCAAAAAAACCCCAGCTTTTCAGCCACCCCCTCTTTGAGGTTCACCAGACATGTGAGTCAGGAAGCTTTTGAGCCAGCTCCAATCCCAGCCACTATCTGAAAGCAACCACATAAGAGACAACAAGCAAGAACAACCAGCAGTTTTAGTCAATCCCCAGAAACATGAATTGCTGTTTCAAGCCATTAATTTTGTTACATTGCAATAGATAACTGATGTAATAACACACAACCCAGTTCTTAATGCAAAGCAGTCCCTGTGTTTCTATTATGCAAGGAACACTAGTAATACAGATTTCGGTTTTTATTTAACAAAGCTAACAGCAATTGAACAGTTTGAAAAAACTACCCTAGTCACAAAAATCTAAATTGACAAAACTAATCAGCTCACTTAAATAGATTTCCAGTGAGTTTTTAAAACCAATGGCCATCAAAATCTTTTTTGACTTTCAAAAATGACATTAATACTTTCTCATTTACTTCCCATAAGGCAGTAGTTCTCAATATATGTAGTTCCAGGAGCATTAACATGACACAGGACAACTTGTTAGAAACCAGAACTTCTGAGGGCGGAGCCTGGATTCCGATGAAAGCTGTTTGAGAATCACTGCCCTCAGCCTCGCCAGATTCCTCCTTTCAGGTTCTTAAGGATTTTATTTCATTTGTTCTCCCCTGTCCACGCCACGTAGGTGAGGGCAGCTATCATGCTTATTTTATAATGAATGAGGCTTAGACTAAATAATAAAAGAACTCATTCCAGTTGGTACATTTAAGACACAAAGATGGGAATGGACGTCTAAATTCAACATTTAGTGGGCACATGGAGGCAGCAAATGTTTCCAATTATTTGAATTTATCATTTTGAACAAGTCAAATGAAGAAGCCTTTTTGTAATATCAGCATAGACAGTCAGGAGTAACATTACAGGGGGTAGGAACTTGGCATTTGAGCCCTGACTCCTCTCTTAATGCTACTTTTGAGCAGGAAAGTTAACTTTTCTGAATCTGCTTCCAAAATAGGTGATAATAATGCTTCAAGCATTAATAATAATAGCTAATACCTGGATGTTCATTATGCGAGTACAGCTCTCTACGCTTAAATGAGTCACCATACCTTATTCTTGTAATAACACTATGAGGTAGGTATTATCACCACCTTGATATCACAGGTAAAGAAACTGGAAGCACAAAGTGATTAAATGCTTCCCGAGTCATACAGGTCCCTGTGGAGCAACAGAGACAGAATTCGAGCCTGGAAAGTCTGAATCCAGAGCCATAGGTTTTCTCAGTTAGAATAATAAAGTACCCAACCAGTACAGGGCACATATCAGGAACTCAATTAAAAAAAGTAACATTATCATTATTGTTATAAATATTTACCATTTCCATCTTTTAGTCCCTTAATAGGTAGACTGTTGTTTGTCTCCAACATCCCAATATTCTGGGAAAGATGTCCAACACATTACAAATAAGTAATATAAAATCAGAGTCAAGGGAACAGGGACTGTGTTGTGTATCTAAGTGTGAATCCTGAGAAGGACCAGAGAAGCATCTCTAAATATTTAATATTTTATACTTATAATTATTCCACTCATGCCTGAGGGATGGCATTTAATTACATGTCCCTTAACATGTATAACTATGCATTACCGCTGATCATAAAAACAAGCACTTAGCATGAAAATCTAACCATAATATTGTACTCAATGGCTTCTCCTCAATTATTAGAAAATCCAGAAGATAGGTGACCTACTACATACTAAAAGTACAGGTTTTTTGATTGCTAATTTTCTTTTCAACTATCCTTCCTATTTGCTGTAAATGATTTTTTATTGACATGCTAGAACACTCAAGATTATCTAAAGAATGAGTTCTTAAGACTTACCCATAATGAGACTCTGCAGGAAAAATTTTAAAGACTTATTACTTCCTTGGGTAAGTACGGTCAGGACCATGCTGCCCAAAAGCTACTGTAGCAAGAAGAGACACCTGATGCTGGCCATGAAGAGCCACCAGGCCACCAGCCCTCACTGCTGTGTGCTTACCTCCACCGCATAGTGCAAAGCCGACGAGCTAGGATGCAAGGACAGGTTTTGAAAAGGCTTGATGTGCGGTTTCTCCCATCCAAACTCCGAGGACCACTCGATTGTCAACATGTGATCCGTGAAAACGGTTCCAAAAACCACATTATCTGCGTCTGGTTTCTCCTTTAAAGTGGTGGCTGGTGTGATTATTAGATCTTTAGCCTGGGGATGAAAAATCAGCACCTTTAAAGAAGAGCAACTGCACACCTTCTGGCACAAGGAAAGAGAGTAAAAAAAAACCCCATAGATTTAAGTCACTGGCCATTAAAAATTGAAATCACTTGACTCTGTTGCTGTCCCCAAAACTTATTTACCTTCTAATTGGGGTGGGGTACCTTCTGACCACCTTCACCCATTGCCCTATCCCTTACACCTCCACTTGACTTGCAAATGTTGGCACCTAACTTAGAAATCTAATATTATGTGAGCCAGACCAATCATGTCTGCATTCAGAATTTAGCCCGCTGTTTGAAATCTCAGCAATGTACACTGCCTAGTAAATATCAGAACCAAAATTCAGTGATATTTAGAAGCAGGGACAAAAATAGCAGATGGGACAAAATGAATCAGAAAAGAGAACACATCTCCTCTTTGTTACCATTATATGGCCCATGTTGAGCGCTTGGCAACGAAGAAAGGAGTGTCTTCTACAATAAATACAGCAGCACCAGCAATAACTTGTTAAAATAAAATAAATGCCATTAAGAACTGAACACCTTGGTGATGGTTATACTTCAACCCTCCCCCTCAAAAAAAAATAAATTCTTGGATAAGCCTTAAACCTCGCGGGGAAACCGCAGAAGCAATGAGCAGAGTGAAGCAACTGTTTTCCTCCTTGAACACAGAGATGTAGAGAATGAACACCAACATATGAATCCTCTGTTCTGTGCCGAGGAAACAATGAACAAAGGGATCTCTTACTGACAGAAAGATAAATAGAGCAATAGGAAATAACCTCACATAGCAGCATTTTGCCAGCACCCCACAGAGCCAGCTTGCCCCTTGCAAATGACCGACCACATGAACATTCAAATCATAGACAACCCCATCACTAACTTTTTCACAGTCCTAGGAAGCTGACAAAAACCCCAGGTGAAGGAGAGGTTTTGGACCAGTTATAAAACATTAATCAGGCACAGGTTCAACCTGTTAAGAAGTTATAAGGATGGTCAAACTCCACTTCCTCTGATACACAGAAGTTCCTATTCACCATTTCTATTCCCAAAATCAAACACAGAATTTCACTTTATATCATCAGCTTTTATTATTTTCAAATGATGTAACTACTTTTCATTAATAGTTCACTGTCTTACAGCTGCCTTATCATTTGGTGTATTATGAATGATAATCCATTTTATTTTAGAATAATATTCAGGCTTAAATGTATTTAAAAACAACCAGAAAGCTCATTACAAATCTAAAATGGAGCACAATATTTCCTCTAAAACTTGGTCCCTAGTTCTCACATTCATATTCCTTTCCACTTCTTTACTTCTTAACCCTTAATTTATTGAACATGAAGAGTAAGCCTGTTTATTATTTTACTTAAATTTTTGACTATAAAGAAGGGAAGAAAAATGAAAAATATAAAGTCTGCAACTACTACCCTGGCAACCACATTCCTTCCCACTTCCTAGAGATGGCCTCCGTTAACAAATTCATTATTTATTTTCCAGTATTTTCTTTGCATGGTTGTTACTTTCAAGGTCACTTATCATTCTTACATTCTCACAGCCTTTGGTGTCCTACATTAGTCACTGAACTAAGACACTTGTCCTCTCAAGTATTTCTTTAGTAAATCTGATGCCTTGACTTCTACTACTCCCTCAGGAGCAAACACCCCGTGTTTCTCCCCTGTTCAATGTCCAGGAACAGATTCAAGTCCAAATATTTTAGCCCAACTAATTCCCTTTTTCCATTGTACCTCTCACTGGTGTGCTGCCTAAGTCTTTTACTTATTATACCAATGCATCCAGCCACAAGTAAATCAAAACCGAACAGGGAGTTGGTTTTCTCACATTAACAAGTCTGGGGGAGTCAGGCCTAGCAATACCCCAGATTATTGATAATCCTGATTATCAGGGTTCTCTGATTCTCATGGCATTCTCCTCAGGGTCAAAAAAGGCTGCTGTGGTGGTAGCTTCAGTTGTAATGATCTGACCACAGTCTAAAGAAAAAGTGGAGAGTCCCTGGCCAGAAGACTCAGTTGGTTGGAGCACCATTCCCATATCACAAAAAGTTGCAAGTTCATTTTTAGTCAGGGCATGTACAGGAGGCAATTAACAGATGTTTTTCTCTCTCTCATGCCCTTCTTCTCTCTAAAATTACTAAACATAACCTCAGGTAAGGATTTTTTTAAAAGCAAAATTGGAGAGGACAATACCAGACATATTTGTTCCCTTTAACCACAAAGTAAAACTTTACCAGAATTTCCCTTATGCCCTATTGGTTAGAAATGTGTCAGATGGACCTCTCCAACCGCAGGGAAGGTGAGGAATGCACGCTTGTCGCCCAGTGAACTGCAATAAGGAACTTCTGTAATATGGAACAAGAGCTGTATTTGGGGTACGATTAGCCCAGTGCTAGAGAACAGTACCCATCCTTAAGAATTCTTGTTCCTATACCTTTGTGTAACATGGAAGAAAAAACAGAAGGACTAACACTTGACTACAGAAATCTCCCCCCACACACACACACACACACACACACACACACACACACACTGTTTTCCTCTCTGCCATTTCTTGCACTTGTAGCACTGGACGTGAGATGTCTCCAGTTTATCCAAACTCTTCTTTCTTCCTCCAGCAGTGAGTGTGGAAACACTATCTGGCACAATAACCTATTCTAGTATCCTCTGCTTTCAAACTCCCTAGCACTAGCTTTCCTTACTCGTCATATTGTCCCTCCATATAGACAGCTCACCCTCCAGAAGGCTTGGTTTGGCTCCATCAAACCCTTTTAATTGATGTGAACAATTGGGAAATGGAAGTCGTGCTTCTTTATCGTGCTGGCCTAATTCTCATTTAGCACAGTAACTATTATACGTATCATTTATGTTTGTCTCAGTTCTAAATTTCACAGAACTTGGATTCATCTTCATGGTTAGATATTGACATAATAGACTGCTACTGCTTTTATTTTTTAAAAATTCAACTGACTATGTTTCATAAAAGACCTTTTGATTGTTGTTTTTACAAACCCTGAAAGAAGCAACATTAAGAACGGTCATGACCCGGTATATAATTTTCACTTTTCTGAACTCTCTCCTTAAAATACTTGTCGACTACCCACATAAGCCAAGACCCAGAAAGATCAACTTACTCAATGGCAAACCAGATATATTGAATAAGGCTTTTTTATGCTCAATTTGGTGTTCTGGTAATAAGAACTTGCTAATACTAGTTAACTTTCTAGAAACTGAATATAAATTATTATATTACCAGGTACTAGTTCTGCTTTAGTAAACCACTACATTCTGCTGTAAGGCATGCAATTCTCAATGGTGTGAATAGCAACCCTCTAACTCTCTGATTTGTGTGTATGGGTTGTCCTAGCTGCACTTTTTCAGAGTAATGCGCTATTTGGTGGCTTTGGAATTTCACCAAGAACTTCAGTTGTCCTTTCCTTGAGAAAATTCCTGTCATTCTGGAAACTAAAAGTAAGAACTATTAACCTGAGTTGAAAAAGAAATTACCTAACAATAATAAATTTAAACAATTAGATGTTACAGTTGAATGAACTGGAAAAGGATATAATATTAACTAACTGTGTGATTGGTTTTGTGTAGGTATGAAATGCAGTTCTAAAGTAAAAATCATTGGCATAAAAGAAACAATTTTATAAACAATTTCAATGAGTGTTCTTTAAAAACGATTTCCTTTTTCTGCCTTTCCAAGTATGGATAAAAAAGTAACTACTTATAAAATCTCCTGCATAATTAATGTCTCTGTCCAATGCACCATATTCCCCGATGACTTTAAGTCAGAATGTTTTACACCATTGGTTTGCCTGTGGAAGAATCTGGAAGGCCACCATGACTGGATTGTGAAATGACAAGAAATACTAACGAAAACAGGGCATATTAAAAAAACAACAAATTCCTAACTCAAAACACATGCTTGGGTAATCTTTTGCTCTGAAATAGGGAAGCTGGTAGCAGGCTTTACAACCTGGGGCAGAGCACCAGAGGACTGCATTAGCCTGCATTTGGGCAAGAGCTTCTGCTCCTCGCCGAATGGTGCACCTGCACGTCCTGCACAGGCCTCAACGCAAACTTTCAAAGCCTATCTCTGCATTACTACTCTATCAGAAATTGCAGAATTTTGTTCTACAGTAAGTGCTTTTTTTAAACTCTGTTTGAAAGGGTTAGGTGCTCTGTTATTGTCTTTTAGAGACAAAACTAATACAGAGGTATGAAGAGAATATCGATTTGGAGTGCCGCATTCTGTGGAGATCTATAAAGCAGGGGAAATTGGAAGAAATAGACAGCTGAACTTTTCGAAACAAAGGAGACTCTGAAGTCCACAAAGAGACCCGTTAGGATTCCTCAGTAATAAGGCACCTCATTGCTAGACCCTGTCGGAACACTGTATTAGCACTGTAAAGTGACTGTTTCAAAATGGGGGAGGGGATGCAATATAAAAACTATCCGCCACAGCCCCGAAAGGCAATTTAAAAGTTACACATGGGGTAACTCAAGAAAGAGGTTAAAAAATGGGTCAAAAGCAAAGATGGTCCTTTAAAATGCACCACTTTCTCTCAAAATTATCAATTTCATTTGCTTCATGACATAGGCACTATGAATACCACCACCATGAGAACACATTTTGATAGGTCAATTCATGAGTATAAAATGTCAATATGCCTCCCTCAACTAAAATCCAATAAACAGAAGTCTAAACGAACAAATAAAGACATTATTTACTTTGTGAATTCTTTACTTTGTAAAATTGTTACTCTGTGTATGAAAGTATAAAGAACGTACCCCCCGCTTTGGGGAAGCACAGTCGTGCCTTTCCCTTCCCCCTCTTCTCCCCTCTCAGGGGTGCATCTCCTAAACTCTAAGGGACCTCAGGAGTCTTGTAGCCAAGGGAGCAGCGGGCTAGTCTTGTAGCCAGGGGAGCAGGGGAGCAGCAGGCAGCAGGCTGTCCTGGGCTAGCCCCCCAAACCCGTCTCCAAGGCCCCTTCTCTCTGACTTCTCAGTGAGCTGACAGCAGCCCTGCCTAGACTCTCTGCTGCTGCTTCCATCCTAAGCCCTTGGTTCACTGTCCCATCTTTAATAAATGTACTCTCCAAGAAAAATATAAAGGCCTTTTGGGAAAAATTGTATTCATCTATATACCCTTTGAGTAATCTATTTACTGTATAAGATGACCCTTAGAGATGATCAAGTAAGAGTCCTTTTTATCTCATTCTTTCAAGGACCCGTATCTCAAAATTGAAGTCCCCAGAAATGTATTAGCATTTAGTCTTAATAGAGAAAGCAGACTGACTACAATGTTATAGAGGATATTCTCTTTAAAGGACCAATATGGACAAATAAAATCCACATACTTATTTTTGTGAAGAAATTCCTATATTCCATTGTGTTTTGATTTTTCAAAAAATCCTGAGTGCAGGGACCTTACCTTGACTGTATCTTCAGATTTCCAGTGCCTGACCCAATCTCTGGTACACAGTAAAAGCTGCAGGGGGTGGCTGCAGAACTGACAGGTCGAGTTTTACTCCCTCTCCCAACCCTGCCAGGCATGAGATCATGAGGACACTCCGTGCTGTGGGTGACCACGGACAGTGCCTGAAGCAGGCAGCAGGAGAGCGGAACCAGGCATAAAAAGCAGCAGCAAAAAAGCTCAGTGGCTGGGGAGGGGAGGAGAGGGGGAGGGGGAGGGGGAGGTGATGATGACTACAGAGAAAATAATACCTTACACGTGTATTTTTTTATTGGTTTCAAAGTACTTTTACAGGGTTCTTTTTCAGTTGCTCCTCATTATTCTTCTGGGAAGTATGAGATTTAATATATAAAGCCATAATTCATTGGGAAAAGAAGAAAATTTTACTGTAAGATATTATTCGGTGCTGCTTAAAGAGAAAAATCACAAGTTTAACTTTTTGTACAAGTGGAGTTGAGGGTTGTCCGTATACAGTCAGATAAACCTTTAGGTGAATATTCATGAATTGATATCTTTCCAATAAATATTGATGATACATGGAATACTATAACCAATCATTAACTGCTAGGTAGTTTTAGATGTGACGTATATACGCCTGCTCCTCAAATTACTTTTACAAGGCATAGCGACATATCAAACTACTGTACCCATGGCCAGTGTTGCTTGGTTGGTGTGCCCTCTATAAACCAGAAGGTTGTGGGTTTGATTCCTGGTCAGGGCACATGCCCAGGTTGCAGGTTCAGTCCCTGGTCAGGATCCATGCACAGAAAAGAGGTAAATGATTCATGTTTCTCTCCTTCTCTCTCTTCCTCCCTTCCCCTCTCTCTCTAAAACCAATAAGCATGCCCTCCGAGTGAGGCTTTAAAAACAAAACAGAAAAACTACTGCATAACCAGCACAGGGAAAATTGCCCCAAATGTCAACAAGAAATTAATTTCTTCAGCTGAATTGTTTCACTTCACCTCTGGCACATAATTTACCTTTAAAGTTCTCACGGCCGCATTGGATCCTGCTTCTCTGGCACACTCTTCCAAGCATCCATTATTGCAGTCCTTAAAGAGGAATGAAACCCATTAATTAAGCAAAACCAGGTGGGTACCAGGGGCCTGGGGTGATCAGTACCACTCACCATCACGATTGTGCTCTGCTGTAGCACCCAAGCAAACAGGAGGAGGAGGCTGGAACACCCAGGCACAGCCCCACAGGAAAAGGTCCTGAGGGCGATGTCCTTCACCTTCCACCCTGCCCCAGGTCGTGACTGGCTTGTGCCGACTGCTTAAAAATCCAGGTTAGCCCTACAGAGCCACAGTTCACCAGCAAAGAACAAGAAGGCAATTGTCTCCCTTATAGCTGAGCAAATAGTCTAGTCCAGGGTTTTAAGCCATTTATAGAAAAATCTCCAGGGTGCGCTCAGCCTCGTGGTCTTGTCAATCTCTGGCGTACAATAGCGAGCCCGGAAAAGGGACGGGGAGGAGAGTGCACCGCGTTCTCCCAGCCAGGGTCCTCAGAGGCAGGCGAATGGACACCAGAGGCTAAAGACAAAACTTCATGGAACTGGGGGTAATTTAAAAGATACTTAAGGACACAGTGGAAGAATGGCAAATTAGAGAAAGATGCAGACCTTTAAAAAATTTTAACACAGCCTAATTTGCTAAGTAACTGCGGGAGAGAGGGAAGAAAGGGAACCGAGGAGGCAGAGGCTGCGGGCAAAATGTTTTGGGGTGGCAAAGGCACGTAGGATGTGGCTGTCAGTTCTGGCAGCCCAGAAATCCCGCCCTCCCGCCTCCTTCCCCAATGCGGTTTCCATGGCGACTCTCACATTCCCTGGTGGGGGTGCTCTCTGCGCTTCCCGCACATCTCTCTCCGAGGGGCTTCAGACTTGGCCGGCGGGGTCCTATCTGAGGCGGAGTTCGCAGCCTAGGACCCTAGATTTCTGGCAGGGCTGTGGTAAGAGACATCTCGGTGGAGGCAGAACCGGTGCAAGGCGACGCAGATCGTTGCAGGCAGGGGCGTCAATGCGCCCGGCCAGGCCCGCGTGCTTACGAGACCCGGACTCTAATCCACCCCCCTTCCTCCAGCGCGGAGGCTCCAGGTACCTGGCGGGCGAGGGCCGCGGCAGCATGGGGCAGGCTGGCCATGGAGAGGCTCCGGGAGCTCCGGGGGCTGCAGAGAACGGCTGTGGCGGCTCGCAGTGCGCGGCTGGGCGCGAAAGCGAGCGACACCGACCGCATGGAGTCGGCTGCCACCGTCCCTGGCCCAACGCAAGGTCGAGATGCAGGAAACCACGCATCCTCTCACGCAGACCCTCCACCCTCCTGGTCCCTCTTGAGTCGGAAAACCAAAGGCCTACTCCCTGCCACCGGATGTCTCGGGCTGGGGCACAAGAGTGCGTGCCACCAGGGCCCACCTTTCTGAGTGCAGGCACTTCGCTAGCACCCTTGCTTACTAACAATCTCTGGGGGAGCAGGCTGGAAACGCCCCTCGGCCAAAATGAAGGCAACGTGGGGGGAGGAATATATTTACATAGGGCATATTTCCCATTGACAAACCAACGAAAGGCAGTACCCCATTCTGATGCCCTCCCCTCACTCCCTGGAGAGTTGCAGCCCCGCTTGCGCAGTTGCGCATCGGGTCTTGTCTGCCACCCAGGGCCCTGTGCAGACTAAGTCGGACTGTAACTCGGTATTGCAGGGCCACCAGGTTTACATCCCGTAAGAGCTGTTTCTACCCACAGACCTTGATGCCACTTGGATCCACCTGTCCATCATTTTCAGACAAAATAGATCATCGACAACTCCCAATGAAACTGTTTTTGACAGTTTTCTGATACAGGCCTGTAATAGCAATATTTAGAAGCTGGGCTGGAAAAGGGATGTTTGAAATACTACCGGAATGGAAAGAGAAAAGAGGAATCATAATGCCTGTTGAAAGGGCGCAGCCAGCCCCACCGGCTACTGCGGCACCAGTGCCGGTTTACTCTTCAAGCCTGTCCCAGCACTGGAAGTGACTGGAGCAAGAACAGAACCTCACCCTACAGCCTCAGGCAGAATATAACTTTAGAGCACACTGCAGCATCAACGCCCCACACAGTAGCTATGCCCCCACCACTTTTAATTCAATTATAAGAAAACTGGAAGCCCCAAGCCTCAAGGCTAGTGCGCCACTCCACACCACACCCCTCTCCCTTCTCAGCGAGTGAACGAAATCTTTATCCTCTACACTTCCTTCTCTTTGTGAATTCCTTCACAGCCCACCTTAACTTTTTGGTGGGCCATACAGGGACATTCTCTATTTCTCCCTCTCCTCCAGCTTCCTGAGACTTGGGACTAGAGGATTAGTGGGCTGTGGAAGCTGGACCCTAGTCCCGTGTCTGTGAGGTTTGGAGAGAGGATTCTAAACCTTCTCCATCTGTTTGGACTCCTCGGACAGGATGCTCCCCACCCGTCTTAATGGCCAGCCGTTGGTAGGTCTCTCTGAATCTCAGACGAAAACTCCTATCAAAGGTGATAGCTTATACCCTTGTCACTTCGTAAACCCCAGTACTGAGTCTATCACTTTCACAGGGTTTCAGCTGGGAGGGACGCCTCAAACCATCCCCTTGCTGGTTTGGTCTCCTCTTGGGCCCGGGACGCCTGGCTCTGGGGCAGAACCTGGGTTCAGTCTGCTCTCAGGCTCGAGGACGCTCGCTCTGGCCACAGACCTCTGGGTCTTGTGAGCTGGGGATGCCCTTCTCAAACCTCCCCCCACCTCCAGTTGTTATTGTCCCTGAGATATTCTTCCCTTTTCTGTAGTTCTCACCGTGGGCAATATTCAAATATCCCGCCTAAGGAATCCCCACTGGGTTGTGTACGTAAGAACTCAAGCCCATGCACTTGATTTTCTATTGCAACACAGCCTGGCCTCAATACAAACTGCCTGACCAGGAAGTCTGGCCCATGAATGAATCTCTTAACTGTAATATTATCCTCCAACTTGACTGGTACTCTCACTGCTCTGAGAAATGGTCTGAGGTTCCTTACATTCCGGCCCTTTTCAAACTCTCACCATCCTGATCTCTGCACTTCCTGTCACGTGTTCTTATTACACCTACTTCCCTTCCACCTCCATCTTCCCAAGATTCGGATGACCTCCCCCTCTCTGCACCTCCTCCTCCATATGCCCTGTCATGTGACTCTTCATCACCCTTTCCACCAGCTCTCCCTACCCCTCTTCTGATTGGGTTTCTCCTGGCCATACCATCAAGCCATCTCTTTCAGACACCTCCCAAGCCTGTGACCCAGTTCCCTCTCCGTGAGGTCGCTGGATCGGAAGGCATTACTCCTTTTCAATGTCAGACCTCTCCCAAACTGAGGTCAGACCTGGCAGTTTTTTGGCAAACCCAGCTAAGACTACAAATCGGTCTGAGTATCTCACTCTGTCCTATGACCTCTCCTGGAGAGAAACTCATATTATCTTTTCTACGTGTACCAATTTGGGAGGAGAAGATGTATTTGGCCCAAGGGGTGGGAGTATGGGGATGACCTAAACCGGAGGCAGCCTAATACTTACGCCTCCAGCACCACGGCCATCCCTGACCAGGACGCCAACTGGAACGACCAAACTAAGTCCCCTGACTACAGTAAATGGAATCACATGCTCTCCTGCCTCACAAAGGGGATGAAGGGGCCACTACTGAGCTTGTTAACTATGCCAAGGTCATAAGCCTGTGAGGCAAGTGGAGCCAAGATAGCAAAAGGGCCTGGCTTTGTCCTTTCACCTATTGTCTCCCCGATATGTCTGCCTGGGGCCTGAGTGCAATGTCAGCCTAAATTATGAGCCTTCAAAAAGGCTTTTAAATAAGAAGCAGTGAATCAGGCCGACTTGAACTGGGGAAAGGAGGAGGGCAGTTTATTCTGGGTAAAAGCAGGTACATCTGGTCTGGTTTTAGAATTGCTTTTGTTCAGTCCTAAAGATAATACAGCTATAATTTTGATTAGAAAACAATATTCCCTTCCTCCTCCCCCAACCTTCCTTCATACGATGAACAGAAAATCCTCTTTTACTGGGGTGGAGTCCTAAGCTACAAAGATCATGCAGGCAGGCAGGTCTCCCAGAAACCTAGTGTCCCCAGAAAGCTAGTCTCTCTTTTTCTGAAATCCTCTCCCACAGGACAAGATTAATGATTTTAGAGAGGGAGGGAGGGAGGGAAAGAATGAGTAAAAGAGAAGCATCTATCAGCTGCCTCTCAAATGCTGCTGCCCCAAACCAGGGATGGAACCAGCAACCTACCATATTTTTTGGACTATAAGATGTACCCCCCTGCCAAAATTTGGGAGGAATAATGGTTATTATTGCTGCTGTTGAGTTCTGTTTACATTTCCATTGGTGAACTATTATGTTATTAAATATTTTACATTTTTTGCTTCAATTTTTTTCTCCTCCTCTAAAACTTAGATGTGTCTTATGGTTCGAAAAAATACAGGTAAGTGTGTGCCCTGACCTGGAATGGAACCCGCAGCCTCTTGGTGCACGGGACGACATCCAACCAACTGAGCCACCTGGCCAGGGTTGGGGTCTGTTTCTAAAGAAATTTAAAATCAAATTTTAAAATTAAAAAATAAAGAATTAGTAAACTAAGGCCAGGTTAAAAGCCTGGCCAGGTAGCTCAGCTGGTTAAAGCATCATCCCAATACACCAAGGTTGCAGGTTCAATGTCCGGTCAGGACACATAGAAGAATCAACCAATGGATGCATAGATAAGTGGAAGAACAAAATTGATGTTTCTCTCTCTCTCTCCTTCTCAATAATAAATAAATAAAGATGGAGTAAACTCTAGAGCTTCCAGTTTGAGACTCCAGCCCAAAGCTTAAGAATAAGAAACCCTTAGTTCAAGAATCATAAACAACTTTTTTGCATTCAAAAGGTTGCTGTAAATGTCCTCATCAGGCATTCATTCAGAGCCTGTTATTGTTTTAAAGGCAGCAGCCACAAGTACACAACTTCGGTTTTCTTGCTATTTTAAAGGTTACCTGTAAATCCGCCCTTTTCCGTGAAGAAAGCAGATATAACACAA